ATGTATGTATATATACATACACATATTGTGTATAGTCGCCGAGTCTTTGCCGAGTCCACGACCCGACATGTCGATAGCAGGCATCGGCGGCCGGCCGCTCGTGGGTTCGCCTCAGTCTCAGTCTCGAGGCGAGTTCCCTCCCGGGAGGGCACTTGAGAGCTCCAGCCTTGGAGGCGTGGGGCGAGTCGGAGAGCCACTTTGCCAGGTTTCTGCATCATTGGGCTCACATACCTGGCACGTCTGCCACATAGCTATGAGCACGGGGCATGCAGGGGGCTCCCATGACCTGTCGGTAACATGCCGGCAACACTGCGGGCAGCCCTCGAAGCTTTCGAGCGTCATCTGCCCTTGACTCACTTCCCCTGAACGGTGGTGCAGCTTCCGTGAGACCTCGACAGGAGGGATAGATCGAATTCGCCGACTTCAGCTGGAGAGCCACTTGAGCCAACGAGCGACGGACAGCGATCTACCTGAACCCTCCCATGTCCCTCGGCGATCAAATGCCCAGAATGCGCACTTGACCCTTAAAAACTTCAGTCCGAGTCCGGACGACTTGGTCATATATATATATATATAATTATATCTCTATATGTATATATATATATAATATTTGTTGGCACACTTCGAAGATCGATCTCCCAACGGCTCGATGAAGCGCTTTGAAGCAGGGATACCAAAAGAGTCTTGTCTTGGCATCCTCTACCTGGCTTTAAGTACCATAAGCCCTTTCAACGCCGGGGTTCCTCATAGGAAGCCTCGCAGTCTCATAAACTTCCGGCTGGGAACTGGGGAAAATGCCATTCCGATGATTGTGCCCTGAAGGGAGGTCTCGCCATGGTGGTACCTACGCATGCCACAATGATCCCTGAAATTTCGGACTCGCTTCCGTTCACAGCAGCGCACGCACTCTTCTCGGCCACAAAGCCCGAGAGCTGGGCAACCTGACAAGGCCAGCGCGGCGCTCTGCTTGGGGCATGGCGCCCACGATGCGGTCTGCGGGAAGTGATTGAATAGATGTGCCTTCACCTCGTTTGTGAGCTTTTTCAAGAAGGCTCCGAAGAGGACCTGGTACATGTGGTCTCGGATGTGGCTTGCAGCTGCTTTTGGTGGGGTTTGTCATGGCCGCAACTCCGTTTCCTCGGGCCTTGCGCTGGCCTGGCTTAAGCCCGTCCACCATGCTTGGGATGGCCCTCTCCACATCGTACTTGGCCCAAAGGACCAGCTCCTCCCAGCGAAGCTTGCCCTCATGCATGGCCCCCTAAACCCCAAATCCTAGACCCTAAACCCTAAACCCTAGACCCTAAACCCGAAACCTTAAAAAGGCCCGGATCAGTAGGCAAAAGGTGTCAGAAGCCTTGTTGACGAAGTCATCGTAGGAGAGAGTCGGCTGGGACTCGGAGCAGGCATTTGATTACCGTTGGAGGTGCTGCTTTACATAATATAATACACTATAATATACTACCATATAATATCATGTAATATTAGTACTAGAGTATGATATAAAAGTATTTTTCTAATGTAATACCAGATAAGGTAAAATAGTACAGGGCAAGATAATACAATATGATAGACTGGAATTTAATATAGTATAAGACAATACAAAAATATTATAATATGATACAATATAAGATCAATATAAAACAATATAGCATAGCACAGCATAGCAGAGTACAGTTTAGTATAGTATGGTATAGTATAGTATAGTCGAGTAGAGTAGAGTATAGTATAGTATAATGTGATATAGTAAGGCTCTTGACCCTTCACTTAGAGTACGACATGGTCGACGTAGACTTCGGAAGAGCAGTTGCCAATCCACTCCTCGATGCATGGGCGGCTCCATCCCCTATCCTGCACTACCAGGCATCCACGCAACTTCGATTTTTTCCGCAATGTATAGGACGCACCCCATTGCAAGAAAGGATATAGACGAGAGCCAATGATCTGGGTTTGGAAGGCAGGCTTCCTGGCTCTACATGAATTCCGATCATTCTGCTCTCAGTGTGAGAAAGTGGTGCCCCAGCTCACAGCCAGATCGTCAGCACGCACGGCAGTCTCCACCTGACCGCTATGGGCCAAGCATGCCCTGAGATATGGAGATCAGCATTGCATCGTCCACTGAATCATTCCATCAAATCCTCTCTGACAAAGCATGGGACAAGCAGAGCGATAGGTGAAAACACTTGTGCGCATGAGGTATGCAGAGAGACAGCGAGCACGAGAAAAACAGGCATGCAGGTGCGTGGCTAGGAATACGAACACTAATGACCGATATGGGAGTCTTAGCAGCAACACAGAACAGTAGCGCTAAACTGATGGCAAAATCTGGACATCATCTCGTGGGTTTAAGGCTTCTGCTCCTGCCACGTCGTCAGCCGTCTTCCACGCGCATCACCTCGCGTTGAAGGCGGCCAGGGTAATGGACACGAAAGAGGAGCCAACCAACACTGCCCAACGAAAGTCGTGCTCCCGTCCTTGGGTGGGGGCGTCGATGCACTGCGCGCAAGCTGCCTGAAGGCTTGGGACACTGCCGGCTGCCCACGTAATCAGATATAGAAACACAGCTACTTGAGGGCGATGCTCAATGTCAGGCGTAGGCTCTGCAGTTGTCGAAGGTTCCGGAGGACTCGGTGGATCCTTGCGCTTCGCAGATGAAGGGTCCGACTGCATCTGCAGCCTCCGCCAGGGCCTCGGCTCTAGCTATGAGGTCTAAACACATAAATATATCTTGAAACGAAATGCAGGGTCTGTTGGTTGATGTCATGATGGGAAAGGCCCAGGCAGAACCGGCGCAGGCACCAACGCTTCCAGTGGGCACCTGGCACTACCATCGGCCACCCCTTCCCCCTGATCGCACGGCAAGTGACGGCGAGAAGGGCTCTGCCATGTCTGCGATCACGGCTCCCAACACCGGGGCAAACTCCGAGCCCCAGCCCCAACCTCGAAAGATGGCTCTGTTGCGCACCCCTTGCCCCTGCGCTCAGCTGGACCTAGGAACCGGGGAGCACGCCCCATTCTTTGTCCCAGTGGAAGATCCGGAAATCCCACTCTTTTTGGGAGATCTGGTCAATCCTCCGAGCAGACCGCCGCTCCAGGCCCTGTCCGTCGCTCGTTTCCCCGCTGGGGTCCCAGCCGAAGGTTCAAGTGGGCATAGGCTTGAACCTCAGAAATTTCTGCAAAAGCCACATGCACCAAGCCCATAAGCGCTGAGCCCCATGCTTGACTGGACCGCCCTGCTGCGGGGTAGGCGACCTGCCATCGCCAGGCCATGACCATGGAAACCAGTCCGGGGCCCCGGCCCCCCGTTTCTGAAAACCGGCCTGAGAGCACTGCAGGGGTAGGCCCTCCGTCATTGATCCCACGATGTTCACGTAGACCTCGCTTTGGGGTGGTGGTTTCGAGTTCAGGGTTTGGGCTGTCAGACGGTGCTGGTTCCAATAGGTCCGAGCGGCGCAGATCCCAGCCTGGCATCCAACCAGCACAGTTTCATCCAATCCAAAATAGGTGAATATTGCATGATTAGAACAAAAATATTTGTATATGACTGAGATGTATACAGACAGACAGATAAACAGACAGATAGATAGGTAGATGGACAGATAGGTAGGTAGGTAGATGGATGGATAGATAGAGGGATAGAGAGATGGAGAAAGATACAGTTAGAGACATGACACAGTGGTTGCACCCTTAACCCCAAGCCCGAAACCCTGAGCCCTAAACCCAATCTTTGTAAACGTTAAACACAAAATTATACAGGCATGGGTAGTTTTCTGAATTACGGTCCCTTTTAGGTCCCGAAAAAAGTACGGCACCCTTATAAAAGGGACCCTAAAAGGGACCCTAATTTAGAGAACTACCCACATAACACCCTAAACCCTAAACCCTAAACCCCTAAACCCTAAACCCTAAACCGACATGCAAGACCGGTTCGGCTGCCAGGATGCACCTCGAAAGGAACCGGAGCTCGCCAGGTCCGAGAGCGACGCACCTCCGAGCACTCACAGAGGAGCCACAACCGAAGGCAGAGCAGGTTTAGGGTTTAGGGTGTTTTAGAGTTTAGGCTTTAGGATTTTTAATTGTGTAGAAAGTTTAGGGTTTAGGGTTTTTTTGAGCTAAGGCAGCTAAGGGTTTAGCATATGGCCGAGTGGGACGGTGCATTGAAAAAAGTCGCTTCGGTAGCTAAGCCGGACACACTCTCGATGGCGCAGTACACGTCCATTAAAGTCGCCTTGGTAGCGTCGCTATTGTAGCCCTGCTTGGCAAGAAGCCATTTGGGAACGGGACGTGACGGGAGTCGCCAACATCAATCGGAAAGACCCGCTGCCTAAGCGCCCACAGGGTCATTTGTGCCAATCTTCCAGGCACTGGATGCTTGGCCGGTGGCTCTGACAGAAAACCCACCATCTCAGTCTGTCCTGGCCCATCGCGACCTCTTTGGCACCAGTAAACAAAACTGGCACAGATCCAGCTGTCCACATCCAAAACCAACTGAGCTATCAGCATGCGCACTTGAGAATCAACTGGAAACGATGCTGGTCCGGGAAAAGCCGCAGAAGACTCGCAGATTGAGTTGGTAGCACGAACACTCCGCTGCAAGTGCTTGGACATGAGACCACGCCTACCAACAATGGCTGTCAGCCACGCCTCAAAGATCTTCGACTCTGACTCCACACTGTTGGGTGTTCTGGAGCTCTGGATTCAAGCGATTCTGAGATCTCGGCAACATCAATGCTGCAGCCAATGACATTGGAGGCTGCAAGGTCTCAGTTCAAAGTCACTGGACAAACACCTAAGCCTAAGCTCCAACCTGAGGCGCCTGGCGCAGAGTGTTCACGACGATGGGCTCAAGCTTGATTCTCCTCGGGCCGGTCAAGGGGCTTAAAAGGCTGCAGCACGACAGCGGCTTGTGCCGGGCGGCTTGGAGAAACCATACCGTCTGCCCCAATCTTCGCAAACGATCCTTGGATGCTATCAGCGCAAGAAGTGCCTCTACACCACTTAGCATCACCAGGCCACCCCCAAACGCACACGAGAACCTGAAAATTTTTGCTGTGAAGACAACTTGTGCTCGAGCAATCACATCGACATACTCAACGTTGCGGCGCTCCGTCGTTTATGCGCACATCCTTTCCGAACAAGCGCCATGTGCGCGCTGCCATCCGACACAGCGCATGGTACACATGCGCATCCAAACGCCTGCAGTTGTTGAAGCCATCGCTGCTTCCTCCCACGCGTCGTCATCGTCTTCTTCATCATCATCATTATCCATGTGCCAAACCATCGCCATCATGCTACACTGTGCTGCCGAGGTTCTCGTGATACACATCATCATTGGCGTTGTCCTCTCCTCGCAGTCTCCCGAACAAGGATCTCCGCAAACGATGTTGGAGCAGGGCCTCAGTGTGAAAGGAAAGCGACCCTTCAACCACGAGCGGCGACATGCAGTACAGCAGCCAGATGCTCAGGTGGAGAGTGCAGCTCGCTTGTCGAAAGGCCGATCTTCGCCTCCTCTACAGTTTCATTCTGCAACAAAGGCTGTACAAGTTGCACCGTCTCTATGTACGTCCTCGGCATAGATGCGCAAGAGGTCCGTCAGCAGCGCGGTGCCAGAGGCCCCATCCGAGTACCTGCAATGCGAAAAAAAAGCCTTTTCCCGTTTTTCCGGCTCCCGGCTCGAGTTTCCCCTGCCAAGCTGCGCGTGGGTGATTCCAGCATAGATGTACCAGGTCACATCTTCCGGCGGCAATGTGCGGACAGCCTGTGCCAGAGGCCCTGGAGGTAGCGTGCCTGGCAAAGGGTCCGTGTAGGAAGGAAAGGAAAATGCAAGACTCAGCGAAACAGCACAGAAAGAAAAACTTTAGATTAAGGAAAGAAAACCAAACTAAAACTGGTGGTGCACCGCTGCCTTTCCGGACGACTGGGATGGCGCAGATCTGATAGGGCCAGTAGTGATTATTGCGAAGTGGCGACACAATCCAGAACATGTAGTCGGCGTCACCTTGCCGTTACGGGTGGTTCGTGGCTACGTAACCAGCCAAAAGGCTGCTTTCACGCAAAAAAAGACTGAAGCAAGCCACTGAGTTCCGCAAAAGCCGGATCTCGGACAACAAGTTCCCGATCTGGAAGCCGCACCTGCAACCATGAGCACGGAAGCCCCTCGAGGAAGTGAGAGGTGACGGTAGGTCATAGGTCTGACTCACGGCTGCCCTGTGCCCCTGAGTGAAGAAGAGAACAGAAACAGCGCACATTCTCGATGCGCCGGGCAACACAGTTAGCTTTCCGGTTTTTTCAGTCAACGGTGGCCACATGCCACCTTACAAGATTTTTGTGGTTATCTTGTTGTGCTCCGGACTGCGCGTGTCTCACCACACTGTCGTCATGGAGACCACTTTTTCAAAGACACCCAGGCATCTTCAATGTCTCTGTGGGATAGGACTCCTCTCCAGCACAGACAAGAGTCATAGGAAGAGCGGGCAAGCCCTGCGCGAAGTCGCGCTCTGATATGTCTGCAGTTGGTTGAAAGAAACCGTCGGAAGCGTGAACAGGGTACCATCCCGTCTGGCAAGGAACTCCGACTCTCTCTCTCAACGTTCTTTTCGGACAGCGCAAAGAGGATCGATTGCCAAGCACCCAGCAACCGGGCTCGTGAAGTGCGAGCAGAGCGAGAGAGAGGGGCAGAGAGGGAGAGAGAGGGAGAAAGACAGAGAGAGACGGACAGAGAGAAAAACAGAAATGCGAGAGAGAGAGAGAGAGAGAGAGAGAGAGAGAGAAAGAGAGAGAGAGAGAGATAGAGAGAGAGAGAGATAGAGAGAGAGAGAGAGAGAGCGAGAGCGAGAGCGAGAGCTGAAACGG